CAAACAAACAAACAAATGTACGTACTAGTTTAAGTTGCTGGTGTTAACTCCTTGGGCCTTGTGCACAGCCACACCCAAGATTTCTTTAAAAAATGCTTGTGGCTCCTGTATCAATACAAGTAGTCCTCACTAATTGGAACCAGAAACTCCATTGCTAAGTGATGCAGTCATAAGGGATGACGTCATGAGCGCGCTGACATACGATGGCCCAGCAGTCCCAGTTGCCATCGTTAGGAGAATCCTGCACAGTTGCAGCATCTTGTGGTCACATGATCACCATTTGTGGCCTCCTGCCAGCTTCCTCACTGACTTTTCTTGTTGGAAGCTGGCAGTGAAGGTTGCAAATGGTGATCATGTGACTGCGGGATGCTGTGACATCATAATTGTGAGCCGGTCCCTGAGCGCCCAAATTGCAATCACGTGACCACAGGGATGCTGCAACAGCCACAACAATAAGGACCTGTTGTAAGTACCCCTCGTTTAACACCGTCATAACTTTGAACGGTCACTGAACAAGCGTATGTTAAGCGAGAACTACCTGTAAACCTGAGCTGATTGTCAAAATAGGGCTGGCTCATACCTCATACTAAAGTAGCCATATCACGGTTAAGAGTTTTTTCCCATCTAGTGGCAGTTCTCTGGAACCAACTTTTATCAGACTGCCTTGAGTCTAATTTTTTCAAAATTTAAAAAGGCACTGAAAATATATTTCTCTTATGGAGTTGGTTTAAGCATCAACACTTAAAGCAAAATTCTTATTGTGGTTCAGATATAAGTGCCCATGATGGTTTCAAATACTGTGGGCCATTAGCTTAGTGAGGCCTTACATTGTAAGTTATCTTCTCAAATTGGAACATAGTGTGTTATTGTACCAAATTGTTGATGTTGTATTTTATCATTTTGAACTACAGTATGCCTGAAAAATAACTGCTACTGCTACTACCTAGGTGGTCGAATTGTAGTGTTGTGGAACTGATTAGTGCCAACATTTAATGCATTTGTCTTTTCCTTTCACAGCTCCTCCATCCATTGGCCTTATCATTGGCTGTGTAATTGGTGCAATGGTGATCATTGCTTGTGCAGGTGCGGTAGCTTATTCCGTATACTATAAAGAAAGGACTGGGACCTATTATCCGTGGAAGCAAGGGAAGCATCGGCAGTCACCACAAGCTGTTGGAAACTCAGCAGAGCAAAGGTTCCTGAATGGCAAAGCAAATGTCTGAGCAGACTTGTATTTATTACAAACTGAAGAACAACTTGTCCCAATGCCAGCAAGACTGTAGCTATGTTTGTGGTTCATCACTTTACTTAACTACAGAGGAAGACGATGATGATTACGTGCCGTCAGGTTGTTGTCGACTCTTAGTGACCACATAGATAGATTTTCTCCATGATGTGGAGGAAGAGATACGGGAAACTGTTCTTCAGCTCCTGAGCATCTGATGGGCAGTGCTTCAACTGGACTTGTCTTTGGACTTTGGGAGGGTGATGATGGTAACTTCTGCACTTTCAAACAGTGAGTGTTTGTACTCGTGCCTCCTGTCCTTTACTGAAGACCTCCTCTACCATCTAAGTGGACATCCAGATTTTTGCTCCAGAAGGCAATCAGGAAGCTAAAGATGGTCTAAAAGACTCTGGGCTACCTCCAGTGGGAGGCATTACTGGGAAACCAGTAAGAAGTACTGGACAGGAAGTGGGTATCTGCAACCCACCAGCTTGGGCTTGTCCTACAATAGTGGACAACTTAGCTGTAGAATGTAAAGTGTCTTCCAGATTTCTCCTCACACTATTGGATTGAAAACAATACCATAATCATATGTGGCATGATAAAATCCTTTCTGTTTTTGCAAATTTGCACAACAAAATTTTCATAGCGCATGCCAGAAAGCTAGAGTGTCTTTCTGTTTTTAAATCCTGGTACAGAAATTTATGATTATCAAGATGCCGCATCCCGTAACCCTAAGTTAACTCCTATTTCTGAATGCCAGGAAGTTTGGCCTACATCCAGATATCCCTGCAGTGCAAGGATAAAGGACGAGCCTCTCCCAATGGTGGTTTCTTTTGCTTTACAACTCGGCAAGTCTTCCAACCTTCTCATGCGGTTGCTTCAGATCAAATCAAATTTTTATTATCGTCATAGATCAGCATAATATTCATGCAGTTACTTGGTTTTACATCTGTGTTTTATTGTTGGGAGAAGAAAATGGTGGTGTGGAAGTAATAGAACTGAATCAGAAATCTAAATAATAAAGTTAATGTATTTTTTAAAAAAATATTGTGTAGTAGAAGGGAAGCGTTCCTTGCATCCTGCAGGGCCTCTATGTTGAGTAAGTTATGTTCCCAGAAATATAGGAGAAAACTTGGTATGTTCACCAGATGTTGGACAGCCATCTGGTAGGGTTCAGATGCCAGCTCATCCTGGCAGTGAGAGCAGGGGTGGATCTGATGGCCTCAATGATCTGTTCAGCTCTGGGACTTAGAGCAGTGGTTCTCCGTTGGTTGCATGCATCATACTGCAGAGGGGACTTAGAAGTAGACTGAGAGCACTGTATGGGGGTAACATGCTAACTGATTGAAACTTCGGGCCCTCAAAATGATTATGAATGACAACTATGACCACAGAATACCTGTCAACATATAAATGTGTTTCTTGGGGGGGAAAGAGGTGTTTTCTTTCTATCAGGCTGGGGCCCAGATTCCTTGATAGAAAGACTGATGGACTTTAAGATACAGAAGGCTGAGAACCACTGATTTTAGAGTGCAGTATTCTTTTGTGAGAAAAAGAAAATGCAGTCACACATGTCAAAGGACTGTTCTCGGACAGAAAGAACTATAGTTGTGCCAGAAGCGATGCCTGTGCAAAAGAGTAACTTTTTCCCCATCTCCTCTTAATGAATGAGTGGGATGTCTTGATGGGCCAGGCAGAAACAGGGTGACCTTTCAGCCATTCAGTTCAGCTTGGAGAGTGAAAGGGACATGATCATATGTGTGAATATGTCCAGCCCGTGAAAAATGGGTGACTGTCCTCCCTTCCCTTTTTAACATGCCCTTGAAGTCCTTTAATTCTGAAATGCCAGGACTTGGAAGGGGAGGGGGCTGGAAACCATGAGACAGAAAGAGCCTTTGAGAAAGAGGATGGAACATGCTGGTCCCCAGTGGTGGGGCTCCAGGAACAGGGCCCAGGCATTCAGCCTAAACTCTGACTATGTCTGTACCTTGGAGCAGAGGTTGCTGAGTTGCAACTTGCAGCGAAATCTCTCAGCTCCCTCCCAGGCTTAGTCCTTTTCTTATGCGCCCATTACTGGTGACCCTGAGAAAAAGAAAAAAATCTAGATGTTTGAAAAGAACTACTGCAAGCTTTTTAGTTTCAAGGAAAAGAAAAAAGGGCAGACAAAAATACGGGTGATTTTGGAGTCATGTGTAGACCAAGTTGCACTGGTGGACAGAAAAATAGTGAGCCTTTGGCCACACAAGGAACAGAGTCATGTATCTGTGGTGTTAGTTTGTGCAAATGGCCCTCATGACCTAAATCCACTGGATTCCCATGCAGTCAGAACCCCAGTAAAATTGCAAGAGATACAAGGACTGTTGGTTTTGACTGAGCAGCCCAGCCATGCTGGGGTGTATCCAAATTGCTCCGGCTCACACAAACTGGATCTCTCACACCACTACCACTTCATGAGACCAGATAGATCCCAATAGATCCAAATGCATTTGATGATGGCTTTGGGGACCTGACTCATTAGAGGTGGAAACACTTGGGCCGGGTGTCCTGGGGGAAAATATTGGGGGTAAATTGAAATAGGAAATGCTTACTTGCTTATCAAACATGCACATTACTGCTTCAAATGTGAGACAGGTACCTTAAGATGTAAGATAGCAATATTTGATCTATTCATGGAATATAAAAGTACATTTAAAAATATAAATATTCACACACACAGGCACACTCACACAAACAATGCACCCCCCAAAAAACTGAAGGCGCAAGTTCCTTTTTCTTAACTTTTAAAATGGAGGTGGTTAGTGTGTGGGGAAAACAAAAACTAAAACCATCAAGATTGCCCCAGACAAAGGAAATTCGTTAGCATTTGAATTTGGATGTAGTATTGTATTTTTAGTGGTAACGGTAAGAAAAATAACTGGCTATGGCCACGTGACCCATAAAATGATATGAATAACGGAGGCTGGTACTGAAAGGGAGTATGTTGAGCTGAGAATGGCTGACCAAGAAAGGTTACTGAAAGAGTCAATCAGTAGATTGCAGGGATGAAGCAAAAAGGTGATTCCTTGGGGGGGAAAACTAAGGCAGCCAAGGCCGGAAAAGCTGGCTCAGTCAGCCTCAATGAGGAGGAAACAAGTATTTCCTTGAAGCTATGTAAACGTCAAGGGAGCTGGGCACATGTGTTCCCGTAAGCGTGCTTCCAGAAGCCACTAGCAGCGTTGACTGCAGGAGCTTGCACGGCCTCAGCTCCTCGCTTTCGTCGTCTGTTTGGACTGATGTGGATTGAGCTGCTTATCTCCAGGAATCCACTCAGACCAGAACCCAACCCAAGAGACCGAGAGATCGACATGCGGAGATTTCTCTTCTTCCTTGCCGTAGGAGCCTGGGCTGTTACTCAAGGTAAGGAAGAAAGCTTCTATGTTTCTCCTACTGCTCTGGTGCCTCTCTGAGATTAATCCATTGATCCTCCCCATCTCACAACCATTCGCTCTTTCATCCTGGATTTCTGCACCCCATTGATGACGACCGAGGGCCCCAAGGAAAGAACGTGGCCTTCTTCCCCGACACTAGTGGAGGTCTGTGGGGTTCAAAAGGCACATTTCCTTTCCGTTCCAAAGACCAGCGTGCTCCCAGGTGCCTCGGCAAAAGCACGAGTGCTCCCGGAAGGAGCCTGATAAAAAATAATTACCTTAAAAAGATGAATGTCTATACTGCACATTCCTTGGAACCGGCTTGAGCTTTTTAATATACTTAGTAGCAAATCCAGGTTTGGTGCCCTGTCAGGCTAACACCTGACTGTTATTGGAATATGAAGGCTAGCAGGCAGAGATTCAAAGCTGCAGCTCTTTGGTAAACTAATTTTATCACAGATGCTAGAAAAGTTGCAATAGAGCAGAAAACCACTGTAACAGACTGTAATGACTGTAACAGACATGTCTGGGTTTGGGCCCTTTGTATCTGACTTCGATCCTTCAAGCCTTCATACGTTTCAGTATGTAGAGGAGCATTAAAAGATAAAAACAATTGATACCTACTGCACAAAATGGCTGCCCTAGTA